TGAATTGTTTACTGTGAATGAAACAATTTCCAGCAAATATTTCAAATTCACCCTTGATTAAAATATCCTTTACATCATTGGCTCCTAGATTCATCTAGTTCCCATTAGGAATGGTACTAGATCTTCATTCCTGGTTATCTAGTTCCATTCCTAGTGTCGACAAATTTGCTAGTTTTGATGAAAATGCATCTAAGTGCTCAAGGAAGTCAGTAGATACGTGTTAAATTGTTTCTGCAGTGAATGCTTAGATGTCGGAAATTAATGACAGTTTTTTCAAATTTATGTTGACGTCGTTTGAGCTTTGGTGAACACTACTATTCAACTTCCGCTGAAACTAAAAATCAAAAAGTTTTTTTCTTCAAAGCTTTTCTCCAACAATTTATTTCTTTCTATTTCACAGCATTTTTCCATCTTTCTAACCGTCTAAATGATTTTTGCACTATATCTTATTTGCATACGGGTAGTAAAGAAGACTAAACATTAAAAACATTGTTTCATATAGAGCTCTTTCTGCATCACGATGGTTCTTTTTTCGACGAAAGTCATATAAAGAAAAAGTGATAACATGTTTTTCATTACATGATTGCTTTTTAACAACACCAAAGACCATCGTGTCAAAGCTATGTTCAACCTTTTGGATATCTCTCATTTTTACGAACAGGTTTATGTGGCCGCTAAAGGCTATGTAGAGTTAATGGATATTTTTACCTTCCTTTCCCATTGAAATAGTTTATCAGTAGATGTTGGTTGATTTAAAGAGAAAAATTATACTAAATAAAGAGGCTTAGATTGTTGTGCAAGAAATGAAATTGCCTTTTATGATTGCACACGGATATTTGAGCAGGATTTGTACTTTGAAACCACTAGTCAGTACCATATTTTGAGCGTCAAGATTACTTAAATATGCAGTTATAATTATCAACATATTAGATTTATAAAATGATAAGTAACATAGTATTCTCATATATTGTTGGAACTGAAAGAATTAAAAAGCTGAAAAATTTGCTTCTTTCCACAAATACAGTGACATGTTGGCATAACTTTATCGACTATTTTCCGAAATGTTAGGCCTGGCAAAGAATCTGCACTGCTTGGTAACAAAATAGCACGTTCTATGGGCATTAGCCTAAGTGATAATCAGTAGAGCTACCAAAGATCGACCTTTTTGATGCTATTGGAAAAGATCTTATTGGTTTCTGGCATTTTGCAAGAGTCTTTAAATGAAATTGCGACACTTTGAGAAATTGCCTGGCTATTCTTTTTATGGATTCGAGGCAACAGACAAGCCTTTTCTGCCGGCAGACTTTTTATCATCGTAGAAAACAACCTGCAAATCGCTCGTAGATCAAGACAAAAATCGATGATAAGAATCCATAAGGCTTGATAATGATGACTGATAAACTTGCAAATTAGATCCCTATTTCTAGTCATATTGAACAAATGAAACCATAAAGATCTATCTTCATTTCTCTATAAAATCCTATCTTTGATTTTTTATTGTTATTCATGATTTCTAATAACATCCCTTTAGTAACAAGGAATTCGAGTTTAAATTGAAATGAAAGTATTTTAGTATGTTAACTCTGACCAATAGCGCAAATAATAGTAGATTTATCGAGCATTAGCCTATGAGTAATTTGAGAATAACAAAGGAGCTCTGACGAGTAGCATGTCGAATTTTTGGATAAATTGCAATTAAAAATTTAAATTACGAACAACAGTTGAAATTATGTTAGTAATTTTTGACAAAGAAAGAATCATCTGCTTGAAACTTAACATGCCTGTTTTGCTGTTTTGGTAGACATTGAAATTTATTTTGTGATCTTGGAGACAAGTTATTACAGTCAGACCCACAGACACTGACGCGAGGAAAGGTGGTGGCCAAAACAATAAAATTGTTATTTTTACTATGAAGACCTGTATGTTTCGAGTAATTATCTCTGAATGTTAATATTATTAAAGTAAATTAAAGAAAAGAAAACACAGCCAAACACAGGTGATCGTGTAATGAAAACACGACTACATCTTTTTGGGTGAAGAAAATTAAGCTGACAAAACTCACCTGTATGGTAGTGGAAGCTGGAAATGCCTAAGCTTGGATCCGCTTGAGATGATCTGCAGGACAACTTCTTCTCAATCTTGATCTGAAGATGTAAAATAATTGATGTAATCTACCACACCAGCGTGACCTCAATTTGAGATTATCCTTTATTTTAACTTTTCTTGTCTGAGAATGTAGATAAGAAACCTTTTGGATTTTAGTGCGATGTGCAGGAATACTCCTAAGCCTTACTGAAAGATTTTCTGGTGTGACGATTTCTTCTAAAGAGAGAAACAGCCGCCAGTGCCTTTTTAAAGTAATGCGAGAGAGCTGCGTGACAACGAGGTTTATACCCGCCTCTCTGTTGCTTTATGAAAGGCTGACGGCTTTGCAGGAGAATTTCAAGATCGAAAATTAAAAGAACACAAAACTTTGAAGCCAGATGTGGGCTTATCTTAAACAATGAGGAGATTTACGATTCAGATGACTGAAAACAGCTTTTATAAATTCATGCGCAATGTATGAGAGCTACAAAAATTTCAGCGCATAATTATGATAATTTATTTTGGTGCAGTTGTGTCCACCGCAGTCCTGATAACACTCTTATCAGAAGTCCTATCTTTTTGACGGTGGAATTTCAATCAGAATGCAAATGGGTAGCAAACTACCAAGGAACTTTTCCCGTGTTATCAGCAGAATTTTTAATGTAAACTGTCCCTAAGACGGGCTGTTGGTTTTCGAATAAACTACTCAACATGGACAATGAAAAGCATAGTCTCATTTTTGGATGAAAGAATAAACCTAGCCAGCCTTTTAAAGACAGCGTTTTTTGCCAAAAGAAAACTAATAGATAGCTAAATGGATCTTCTTCACTAGGAATTGTGCCTTTCTTGTTTCCCATTTCCTATTCACCGAACAGCCTTATCAGAGGTCTGCTGAAATAGGACCTTATCGGTGAAGAAGTAAAACATCGCTGCTAGCTTCGTACAGAGATGTGACATCATGGGTGTCAAATCGTTTGTATTAATCATTTCTTATAACACTGAAGAGAAAATGCGTGTTGGTGCTTTTAGAAAGATAATTTAAAACAATTTTCCAGTTCGTCGCTGTGCCATAATGTCACCAACATTTCTCTTTGGCTATTAATAGTAAAATAAAGATGGATTAAAACGCTAAGACATTCGCAATGTTTTATGATTCGTGTGCTATGATTTATTGTAGAATTTTTACTTTATATAATGTTGTTGTCAAATATTTGTTGAGTTTAAGAAAAATTAGGTATGTGAAGGGGTTTTTATTGCTGGTATAGAAATATCTAAAAACATTAGTTTATTGAGGATTATACTACTTTCTTGCGACGTTACCTTATGCGTAAAGGCTGCAAAGAAACTGCACCTATAACACAGCTCTTGCTATTTTTATAGAGTTTAACCTACTGATTATGAATTTGTTGTTTTCAAATGTTGAGTACATTTTTTGAGTTGTGATGCTTATGTTTCGACAATTGCTACTTAAATTGACGTCATTGTGTACTTCGGATAACCTAGCCTTCGCGTGAAAAGCCAGAAACTCTGACAACAGCGATTCGCAAGATTCTTGCAGCAAGCGGTAGTACAGAAGTTGCAGTTTCGTTGCATCCGAATAAAAATATAAAGCTCTTAGTTTCTAAAATACCGTAAATGGCCAACAAAGATCCCAATCACTTCAAGCCAAAATACTTGAGGAAAGGGCCTAGGCAAAGTAAGTAAAAAGCATAAAGCTAAACAGATGTCGAGCAACGTTGTTGCATTCAAACGCTACTTAAGGCCTTTCCATTGCATAATGATTTCAGAATTGGCAAGACACGGGGAACGACAGCTGAACACGGTGACGTAGCAGTGTTACTAAATCCGTTCGCCTCAATTTGGTTTTTCTTGGAAAGGGGGAACTTTCAAGCATTGAAACTTAATAAAAAATTGGGTTTTCACAACAAAAACATGTTAGTCAAGAGAAACGGATACATCTTTGGCTTGGTAGGTCTTTTGTTGCAAAGATGAAAAGCAGAGGCGAAAACAAAGAGTGGTGCATTTTAAACAATAAAAAAGATATGAAACAAAGTCACTGAGAATTCCATTTAGAAGAAGATACCGTTTATTTATGCGACATTTTCTTTGCTTGTTATATTCGAGTTTCGTTTACTTCCTTTTGCTACGTAGCCATTATAAATTTTCATGGTTTTAATCTACTACTCAACATAAATGTATTTTCGAAAATATTCCTTATAAATACTAAATTGCATGATATCAACTATTGTTCAGTTTCTTGATACAAAGAAGAACTCAGTTATTCACTTTACCGAATAAACCAACAAAACGTAAAATGGCTTAAATGTTTTGAAGAACAGTGGAGAAAGCAAGAGACAGGGCCTCTAACCTTGCGGTATATTGTGTGCGAAAACATACAAATCAAATAAATAAATAAATAAATAAAATTTGTTGCATTGTAAAAAATACGAATACATAACCTTTTTTGCGGTAGATAAATTCGTCAACATAGTGCTTAAAGACGGTGTTGTCAGCCTATTTACAGTTCAGCAAAAGCTTTTAAAGCTCTAAATCAATTTCAATGCACGAAATTTGGCTAGAAAAAGCATTTAACAAGAGAAAGTAAAGTTTGCTTATAAATTGAAAACTCACTTTTATGGATAGCCAAGGAAACTGTGGGGGTGTCCTCTGTAACAGAAGGCGTAGAAAAAATTAGTATAAACTCGGATAACCAGAGCAAATAAGATCATGCTATATCAGCCCTCAATCTTGGTATAACGAAATCTTAGCATATTTTCCTGTAAACTAAGACCCCGCTATTAGCTGCAAATATGTTAGTTGCTCTGCTCATGATTGTACATCATCAAGATTTCAAAATAACTTCAAAATAATTTCAAAATGTTTTACTTTGCAATTATTTATTACAATGGAGGAAAAATTACTTCACTTATTTCATTTTCAATACAACAAATTTTTTCGGAAACTTTGTATTAATTCGAGAAGGATAAAACTTAGAAAGCTTATCCTTTTATGATAATCGAAATTTTTTCGAAAATAGTTTAGAAGCAAAGACTGTTGATGTACACAATTAATTTTTCCTTAAAAATGATTTGTTCTCGTTCTTCTTTACTGGTGTATTGCTAAAAGCTATTGTTCTTCGGCTGCAGGACATACCCAAGAACTTCAGAGCATAAGTAAAGCCAATAAGATGTAAATTAAGGTGCAGTAAAGCATTTGCAAGAAGCATTATTAGATAGGATCTATGAAATTCTAGAGTTTCAGAGCGAGCGCTAATTAACTTCAAACTTACCTGAGACAAGAGCATATCGGCAAGCATTCCTCTCAAAAGAGAAGCAAGCAAAGGGTAAAAACTGTAGAAAAAGATATGATTTTAGATGAAAACTTTAAAAAAGAGATGCGAAATTTCGATGAAGTTTTATCAATGCTTTGATTAAATAGGAATTCACATGAAAACCAACATACCACGAAAAAAATCTCTTACGCATAAGATATTATCTAGCATGTGATGTTTTTCTTCACTAAGAAAATGCAATACGTCTTTCTAAATTCACCGTTCTATTTGCTTAAGTAACCAGGCTGTGAATGAATAGCTGCTAATAAATAGGTCGTAATAGATGAAAGAGAAGGCGAACTTAAAGAAATAAAGGATAGGACCACGGTGCCCAGGCCATTCATTTTTGCAATTACGGCTGCACGAATCAAGGTGCCACGAGAGGATCGAATAAAACTGCTTCAGTTCTTTCGAAATTCAATTATTTTTTAGAGCTATGAAAATCAAGACAATATTTAAATACATGGAATAGTCACCATGTTTTAAGCATTGTATTTTAACAGGTTTATGTTCGTTTAATATTTTGACTATGATATTTGATATGGCATTTTTACAACTTTTATAATGACATTATTATATAAAGCTTTCTGGAAAGAAACTGATTATATCATGATGTGGCTGAAACTATATTATGTCATGGTCTGACTGAAATTTAACTTAAAAACTTAAAATTTGCTTTCCAAGAAAACTGCTGTAATTTCAGTAAAAAATATGGCTTCGTAGCATCGATGCTAAAGAAACATCGAAAGATTATCTCACAGCTCTGATGTGGAAATCTTTCCGTGCTGTGACGAAAATTGTATTTTTCATCACATAATGCTGGAATAGCGACCAAAGTTTGTATCTATCTCTATGTAGCATCCAAAAAGCTTTTAAGACAACAAGAGGCTGTGTGTAGCGAGAAGTCTTCTGGTCCTTCCTCTATACGTGACAACAGCTCACGATTTCTACTCCTATTATTAAACAGGTAACTCCTGTTTTTAATCCAATCACAGGGCCACCATCTCGAAACTAGGCGGCAAAGATGGTATCATTGACGGCTATTGCTAAAGGCACGTGAAGATATTTTAGTTTGGCCATAAGACGTTTTCTTTACTTCATGTGAGCATAATTTACTCATAAAGCATGTTTAGGTATTCACCTACAGTAGTTTCGAAAGTTCCATCTAGTGTTAATGACGAAAGCTGCGCAAAACCAGACTTTCATGTCACTTTCTGCGCTTGTATGGATTTGTCAAGGTGGTGAGCAAGAGGAAAACATGCGTGTCAAAAGATGTCAAACCAGTTGGATTTTAAGATTTTTGGAAAAGACTAAGTAAAACGTTGCCGCACACGTGAGGAAACAGCTGAAATCAATTTTACTCAGCCAAAGTCCTACTGTGCGTGTGTGTGCCTAGCATTATGAACAGCTTGATAAAAAAAGTTATTGCATCACCCACTGGCGGCTTCTAGGTGTTACATCCAGTAGTTTCGAACTTTGCTGAAAATGGCAAGCAATGTTGAGTTATTTGCTTTTCCTCTTCCTTGCACTATTTCCGTGAAGAAAACTTAAGTACCAAGATTATCTAGCATGCTTCCATGCTTCAAGAATCGCAAGGATGATGAAGGATGTTAAAAAAAACGAAACAAAGAGATGCAGCAACTTTGACCAAACACAAGAAAGTCAGCTGTGATGGACTGCGTTTACAGGCCAGCAAAATACCACCAATTAATCTATATATATGCAGTCTTCCATAGATAGGGTTAGACACAAAAAATCAGACGTTCTTAACTAGTCCGGCTAACAATTGCATTTATCAATTTCGGGGCTGGCAGTTGGTAATCAAATTGTTTGATACCTATTGCCTAACTGAACTAGCAGGGGTCAAAAACAGAAATGTACGCAAAATGTCACATGTTCTTTGGCCCAAACTTGAACATTTCATCAAATCAAAACCTTTTTTTCAATTTCATCTTTTAGATTATTTTTTTCTTGCTAGAAAGCAATCGATTTCAAAAACCAGCAAAAGCGAAAAGCATCAATAAAGCTTTCTTCACACTTGAGTAGTTTGAGTGGTAAGCATATTTCAAGTTCTTTTTACATAAAATTTTAGTGCAAAGCATATTTCTCATTCAGGAATTTCGATAGATGCTGTAAATCCTCAATTCCTTTTCCAATATAATTTTGCATTGACTTTTAAGTTCGATGTTTTTAACTATTAATATTTCTCAACATACTTCTATTGATTCATTTCATGTTTTTTATTGCGCAATGCAGTATTTCAGAATCAGCCAAAAAACTACAATATTTTTCTAGTCTTTGCTAATCCAAGCTCATACCTCTGTTCTCATTATTTGTGTCAAACAATGTGTTTGACTCACCAAAGTTTCACAAAACGGTTATGTTTCAATTGTTACTGGCTACTTTGACCTTCTGTGTCATTCTGTGTTTTGCACACTTGATGCTAGAATGAAGGAAAAGTAAAGCAGCGTTTGTATCGATTTCAATAGCTGAATTTATTTAGTCCCAGGAGAAAGAATGAGAATAGAGTCTTTAAGAAGGTTACAATAGTGTTGTGTTGTAAGCGTGATAGTGATTTCAAGTTGTTTCACACGTGAAGTTGTGTCAGTATAAATGGTCTGTACTGAAATTTTCAGTTCACACGTCGGTAGCTATTTTGCGGATAGGTATTCCTTCCCACCCCTCCCCTAAGGATATCAGAGTATCTGTACTGTATCTGTACGGTGATTTTTCATTTACTTGATGCCAAACTTATGTCTAGGTTTTCATTTTCTAACTAGAGTGTTGTTATAGCTTTAGCAATCTTGTGTTAAGTTCATGATATTTTTTCTTTTCGTACTCTTTGTAAATGGATTTATGTTTGACATGCCGATGTTAATTCGCAAAATGCTAAACTGACTAGTTCTACTGTTCAAAAGACTCTTATAAGTAATTTTAATTAGCTACTAAATAGATGTTATTATTTTCGGTTGAATGAAATGAATTAGAAAATAGTTGCAGTTTTATTAAAAGGAGGCAGAAGAGTAATAATTGCAGAGCGCATTGACCCAAGCAACTGCAAGATCAAATTTCCTGCGTATCCGTAGAGCAATGATATTTCTTACTGCTGTAATATAACATGCATTATGATGAACAGGCTCAAACAGTGACAAGAGAAAAGAGCACCTTTTATGTCGATGATGTGATTGTAAATCACGATGCTGGCTATTCATAAAATCTTAGGTCAGTTTCAACAGGCCGATCTAAATGAAGTAAATAACTGTACAAGTACAAGGCAATTTGCTCATCTGGGTATTCGACGTATGCCACTGCAAAGTTTACTGTGCGAAGTCTACTGCAATCAAACTACAAATAGAAATCCATTTTGGTTTCAATATGATATCAAGCCATTGGAAAGCAGTGCGAGCATTGGCGATCATTAAAACATTTGCGCAGATTTATTGAGTAAATTTTTTTGTAGAAAACTGTTAGACAAATCCAGTTTATTAGTAGACAAATCAAGCAACCAATCGATGTAAAGACAATGGAAGAAGATGATTTTTTACTGTTTGATCGAGAACTTTTTAAGAGTTGGTTGCTTTATCGACAATTACCCAAAAATAATTCCAAACAAAATAAGCAACTTCACTTCTGAATCACGATGCCTTGCCTACTTCCTACAAAAATCTGAGATGCGCATTAAAATGCGTCAGTGTGTGTCTACTACAAAGGCATTTAGTGCATGAGTTAATGTCGCATCATTTCTTCTTCTTGAGCTACTTCAAGGTTTCATCAAATGCGATAAAAATCCGCTTTTTATAATAGCTAATTAATGGTACACATAATTTTATGGTTCACGGGAAAGAAAAGGCCTGATCACAGGAAAAATCACAAGGTCTACGGTGAAACATACGTGGAAACAGGTCTACTGAGATTCTCGTGATTTATAGCTCTTATGAATTATTGGCACAAATGTTGTGGTACATATCATCTATTCATAAAACAAAGCTCTTAAATCACCTTGAAAACTTTACTGTCAATAAGCGTGTTGGGTACATTCATAAATGCAATTTTTAGTAAGGTCTGCGGGAAATCGCATCGCATCGACGCTCTTTCTATAAGTTTTGAAATGCCCAGCATCGATAAAATATCAAAGAAATCAAATGCCAGCATATTATAATACGAAATTGCAACTCTCTTAGCAAGTACGCTCACAAGGGTCAGGTATAATAAGGGTAAACTTCATAAAGTTCCCTAATATCTTGAAGATCCCCATTATTCAAAAATCGTACAGAAAAGGACATTTCCTGTGAAACTATGAAATATTAATATACAATTCGCTATATGCTATGAAACTCTACAATTGCAAGTGATAGAGCAAATTCTTGGTGTACGAAATTATCAAACTAAAGTTGAGATTGTAATTGTTCATTCATACTTTTGTGGTGGCTTCTGGAAAAGAGCTTCAAAGAAAAGAATGACGTTAAATGTTGATTTACGTCAAGGCATTAAAATTTATATAATGTCTTTAAGATCTCTATTAGTTTCTTGATCTGGAAATATTGCGGGTATGCTGAACCAACGTTGGCAGCCTGTTATGGTAATGCCTCGTACCAGAAGCAACAGATGACGCAATATCACTTGCAGGAAGTCTAAGCTTGCATTCCTTTGAATAAAGCTAACTTCTGACCAGTGGGTATTAAATAAACAGATAAAAGAGATAATACTGAAACTGTCACAGATTCAACTGACAATAGAAAAGTTACAATCCAATTAACAACCATTTAGCAACTTATTAGCAATCAAACAAGACTCATTTTGTTGTAAAAGCTGGATAAAGCCTCTTACAATAAGTTTTTATAATCCAATATTTCGATTTCGATCCAATTTTTACCCTCACCCATGTTCTATTCGATAAGCATCAGTATTCGACAGATTTGATGTTCTGGTGCAAATGGTTTAGGAAACTGTATTGTTTATAATAATTTCGTTTATGAAAGTGGGCATTTCTGACCCACACGTTGCATTAAAACTTTATTCCTTATTTTGAAGCCTGTGAATTGTTCCAATGAATCAAACTGTTCGACCTGCTTATCTGTACGAGAATCAAAGCTGTACAATAGACTGAAATAATCTCAGCATCAACGAGGATCTCTCTGCACTCAAGTAAGACACGCCTTCAACAGTTTCAAATTTTCTTTGTTTCAATCTTTTTCTTGAATTTCTATTGTACATATAAACAAAGACATGGTTTGATTTTAAAGGGCTGTTGAAGCTCTAAATGAGTCTCCACTTAGAACATGGCGTATAGGTAGACAATTGTTGCTCAAACGTTTTTGCGCAACATTCTCCTTTACAAACAAACAGTCAATGCGACTTGGGTGGTAAAGCAAACGCTAACATGGAAGGCAAGAATCGATACATCAGTATTCACGCTGCAGATTTCTGGTATCTTCTAAGAAAAACTGTTCAATTCTCATAGCTAGATATCTTTCATAAAAAAATATCCACAGTAACTACTGTTCTTTAACTGTATTTTTTAACTGACCATACAGTGAAAATTAGGGCCTGTTCATTTGAGGTGAGATTTTTCATCCACGTGGGATTGACCAGCCTACAAAGTGACTTGTGAGGCTGTGTTCGTATGAATCAAGGCTGGCTCAACTAGTTATCAATGCCGTCGGAACCAAATTCATATTGGGGTGCTGCCATTGTTTTCCTTCTCATTCAGTACACAGTTATAAAGGAAACATACTACAGTTTGACAATTATTGTGGGGGGCTCCAGCGCCCCAGCGCCCCTGCCCCCCGGTTCCGACGGGCCTGGTTATTATCCCATTGTTGGATCGGTGGAATTCAACATAGACATAGGTGGGACAAAAATAATATGAACACGATTAAGTTAGCCACCCCAGTATGAACGTGAGTGGGAAGAAGCCCACACCAGTATGAACGAATGAACAAAATCTTAAATCATCCAAACCGAGTATGCTTTCTTGCTCCTTTAAACGACAATCAGAGATATTTTTTCCATTAAAAAATGATTTTGTTTAAACTTACCGGCAATAAATTTATTTTGAAAATAAGCCATATATTTCAAGTATTATTTTTGCTTATGCATAAGCCTACTGTTTATCGCCAGATAAAAGCACATGAGACAGGAAGATAGACTAAAACATGCTGTAGTGAAGATTTCGCTTCGTTGACGATCTTCAATGAAAGTTTTGTAAGAACATTTTTTTCTTCTACATTTTACACATTACTAAAACGATTTCCACAAGAGACCGGCAAGGAAAGGAACGGACCATCACAATGGCAGTTCGAGATAATTTTCCCTACTATATCTCATAATGTGGGAATACCTTTCCTGTTAGACTTCAAGAAAATGAGTAAATCAAAAGATGACCGACAACGGAGCAGCAGGTCCGTCTGGTTGTGTTTGGTGCTGAAAAAGCAGCGATCGAAGTTACAAAACACGACGCGATTGGTCCTCTCGCTTTTTAAGTGGAATGTATGCACGACTTGATTCTTACTGACGCATTGAAAACAGTAATATGTTAAAGATGTAGTGAGAATGAATCTCTATGTAAAATAAAATTTTAGGCAATTAGGGCTCTGTCTGTAAAGTTAACCAAAAGAAGGCTGAAATATAAAACGTGGGCTCGGCGACAAGACTCTTAAGGCAATTCTCCATCGAAACATATTCATACGTGTACATGTGAGAAGTTGAAGATTGCACATTTTGTGGCTATTTGCTAAAAATAGTCCGTTCTTGGTCTATTTACAGCAACGGACTCAGATTTCTACGCTGCGAAAGAGGCAGAACCATATCACTAAAGTTTTATCACACGCTAAGAGAAGACACGATCTCTTTCGCAATTGCTGAAGACAATGCAACGGGCAAACGGAAAACTGGAATCTAGCAGAAGAATGGTGGAAATACAGAGTCATCTTAAAAGAACAAAGTGTACAAAAGTCGAAGCAGTTATGATACTAAAACCAGGACCAGGTGCAATGCATCCTCTTGTTGCTTTTGTATCTTGATTTTCAGTCGATCGTATTAAAATTTTCTCAAGAGTTTGTTAAACCGGACAAGAATTTTGAGAGATAAATTGTGTTTCTGCAAACTGATGAGCGCTTCCTTGATTATTCAGTGTTATAGTTCTCGGGAATTCGCGCGTTATCGCTCGCTCAATCTATGTGACTATTCATCCGACGCAGCAGGAAAGCAAACAGAATCCCCACAGAATGTGCTTGACCTGCGGAAAGTCTCGTCGCGGATTTTCTCATTCGATCTACTGTTGAATTGCGAGTTACAGATACCAAATCAATAGGTCAAGGAGAAATCTAACGACATTTCATCATCACTACATAACAAGCTGTTTATGATATCATCGATTTGATCTGGAATGACTGCGGTAAGGAGCCGGTGCGACTAAAACTCCGATAAGTAAGGAACAAAGAGAATTGTGCGAAAATTACCCAAAAAGATAACAAGCAAAGTTAGGACACTGCATTAAGACAATTCAAAGAATACTGTAGAAGGGAAGTCAAACAATAAATACATGTAGAATATTTTGAAGAATATTTTCATTTAGAATGCATAATGAAATGCTTTTGAAATATTTCTTGTTGGTATTAGAATGTAAAAGTGCAAATGCTCGTTGCAAAGTGCAAACGAATAGTTTCTGGCAGTTCACAATTATCCGATGGTATATGTTGAAAACTTTAGACAAACTATTTTGTCTAAAAAGTCAAGAGGCATGGTTAATATATTGATGCTGGATTCATAGTTTAATTTAGCTTGACTGAAAATAAAAGTGTTTTGGTGACAAATGCCAAAATGAAGCATTAGAATAAAATCACAACAACTGCCAACCAACATATCAGACAGTAGGAAATATCTGCAGCCTTTTCCGGTGGGAAACAGCAATTCCCTGAATCACAACATGCTATGTCCTGAATCGCGCGCACATTACACTCGAAAGTGGTAAGAAGATAGGCAAGTGCAAAGTTGAAAATATCCTAGTTTTCGTCATTTATATGAATGGTTTCCTGGCGTACATTAGGATCAAGTGGAGCTTCGAAACAAAAATATGGGCAACCGCGCCTGAAATCTGATAAATGCGTTTCTTGCCAATTAACAAGTGCCATAAACATTGGTAATATTTCTAATAAACTCAAGCTAACCTGAAACATGTGGCGATTTCCTTTGAAAATAGGGTCAAAATTTCCACTTAAACAAATAAAGAGAAGAAGATAAGGGTGAAAGTAACAGTATTTCTGAAATGAAATCAGAAGCTAATGAACCTCCATCAAGGCATTACTAATAGTTCGATTAGAGAAATTAAAAAGTCCTAGGATATTGGAGATTGTACAAAACAATTCTTATTTTTAAAATTTTTTCAACGGTACACATTTGAAAATTGGCTTTCAAAAAGGCAAACATTTAAAGACAGCTTTTCGATCGACAATCTTCGATGTTAGGACGTCAAAACTGTGATAACCGTTCCATATAGCAAATATAGAACCAACGGTGGATCCAAATAGGCAAATCAGAAATGCGAAACATGTCATCTTTACAGTTTTTGGCACAGTCTTGGTCACAGTCATTTTAAATCTGCAAGTCTGAGAGGGTGTGTTTCTTATGTTGGAAGGAACATGTACTTATGTTAAAATAACATCCAAGCATTGCGAGGATTGACAGCAAAGAAAAATTTTGTAATGGCCTATTTCATGTGACTTTGTATGATACTCATACTCAAATCATAAGGAAATGTTACCGATCCACGGTAGACGTAAAGAAATCTAGATAGACTAAAAGACTTCCTATATTCCTATAGACGTAAAGACTTCCTATATACTAGTAACAAGTGCTATAAAGCCTAAAAGACTGCATTTCCTCACACATGATTTGCTTTTTATACTGATAATATGGAATACTGAGAAGGTATTTTTGATTTTATTGAATTATGCGCGAAAAATATTACATGCAACGACCAATGATCTAACCAACCAAATTGTAAACTAAAAGTATAAGATTCGCAAATTCTCTCCGGCTTACCAAAACCCTCAGATTATACTGCTCTTTACAGTGATGTACTTTACCATATCGTACCGTACCGTACCAAACCGTACCGTACCGTACTGTACTGTACCGTACTGTACCTTACCGTAGTGTTCCTTGCTGTACTGTATTTAATTGTACAGTACTTTTACAAGACATTGATAAAATAGATAACTTCTGCTTCACTAAGATGTTCAAATAAATGACGTATAATTCTCTAATGCCCAAACTCTAAGCTTTAGCGCAATGATTGATTCATTGACATTTAAATTCAATAGACTATTACATTTAAATTCAATATACATTTAAATTCAGAAAACTAAATATTTCTGTGTTTTGAGTTTGAAATATGGAAGATATTAAAAGATGAATTACTTCAAGTGATAATATCGTAATATCATCGGGAACTAGGAACTATAGCCAACATCTTTGATGGCACTACGCACATATACATCCATTTTTCTGATGTTTTTAAACTCATTGTGGCTTAAAACAAAATAACTGTTTTGAGTGTATTTATCCCCAGGCATAAGCCATTTATTCACTACATACCATAGTGCATACCATTTCCAGGCTTTCACAAGCACGACTAGCAAGCTAGCTAACAGACGACTAGGTGAATTCTTCAAAACACTGGTGAATTACAGGGACGATTCGGGTGAACGTTAAATACTACCACAGTGAACAGGATTTAGAAACCTATAACGCTAGTTTAAAATCAACACACAAACAAATTTAGCTTAATTTGGGTAAGCATAAAAACTTGATCTATAGTAATGTTCTCTCCCCTTTAATAAAAGCCATGAAAGTACACACATTAGCAATTGGTACCAAAAACAAACAAAAAACCCGAGACAAACTGCAGAAGCACCTTCAAGCAATTCAAGAGTAGTGATAAATAACCCCCTATAAATGGGAAGGTGACTTCCAATGCTGTACTAACTATCCAATTTCACTAAGTGGCTTTTCGATTGACTTTTAATCCATGTTAACTGGAAAAGTATGCCAACAATCATACCTTGTTTAGCAAGGTATAATACCGCAGCTTAGAACAAAGAATTCTGGCATCATTCTTTTTTCAACGTTCATGGGACTTCTGTTGCTGTAACTTGCATTTCTTCCTTACTTTTTAAGCTTCTAAAAAATAAAGGAGAAAAATTTTCTATTATTCTATCCTCTTCTAAACAGACCCCATTAACTTGATAAGTGCAAACTGTAATTTTTATATTTCCAAGATCAATGCAATCATCGAAAAATAAAGTTACATTCACACAAGATTCACACAAGGGAGCTGAACGGTAAAACTTGGAACAAACAAGCTTTTTCCTTTCATAGATAGGATTTTTTGTCCTGATGTATAGATGAATACTTGTACGAAGACTGAGATATCGTGAAGCCATTTTTAAATTTAATCATGGCCGCTGCTAATCACACTTGAAAAGTAACGAGATCAACCGAAAATTTAGTTACCAGGCCAAATATGAAAATATTTTCTTAAATGTATGCGTAGTCTTAAATAGATTTTTTAGATCTAAAGTTTTTCGAAGGTGCTATAGCGAAAAATCAATTTGAAAGAACTCGTCTAATAATGCAAGAAGGAGGCTGACAATGAAATTTTTACCAACACAGCAAAAAATATATTTCATTAGCATTTTTAAAAAATTCCCAGCTTGATAACAAGCAAAATATCACCAATTAACAAAATTTTGATTCCAATTTCCTTACTTTTGCTTTTGTATGAAAACTTTGCCTTTTAATTACGAGATCTTAATAATCACTGTTTTGGGAAAAAAGATAATGTCGAAGAAAGAATTGAAGCTCTGAAGTTCTTTCGTTAACGCCAACAAGACTAAGAGCAAAAGATTCACTTTAAAGAAACAAACTTGAATCAGACTACCCTTGTCAAAAATAGACTCTTCAAAACACGCCTTCCCTTACCAGTAATGCATTTGAAAATGATTTCTTACCTGCTAATGGTCTTGCAATACCATCTGTGATTGTTTCTGGTTTTCTGGACGGGTATACAAGGAAAAATGACAGCTGAAATATTCCCAAGAGCACACCAACGGCATTAGGAGCCTGCAATTAAGACAAATGTATAAGTAACTTTTACAAATAATTCTGGATTCGTATTTTGTATTTGCATCTACCTACCATCCAAAGGTAGTATTTAAGACACTGAGAAGCTGTGCTTATCGAGCAGTGCCTAAGTCGTTGTCCTTCCTCTCGATGTGACCACACCTCGTGATTCCTACACTTGGCATTGCAGAGAGCTGGCGTCTTCTCTCACTCTGAGCGCAAAGAGACAAATTCAGAGGCAAATAAAATCCTATTCACGGTGCTGTGTAGCCGTTGTACCGATATCGGGAGGGCAAAGAAGAAAAGAAAGCAAAATTCAGCGAAGACCATCCAACGATGTAGTAGTTTTGAGGAAGGCAAATGCATAACTACCAAACCATAAATGATATCCCTTCCATTCCAATTCTTTTAAAACCTTTTGTACAACAAATAAAAGGAAAATTTTGAGGAAGGCGAACTGAACAATCGTTACCAACAAGTTTTTTAGTGTTGTTTGTCTGTTCATTTGTTAATTTTATCAGGACTACTAGGAAAACAGTGTAAATATGTATATATGCATATCACTACTGAAGTATTATCTTGTATAAATATTCGAGAATAATAATAATAATGATAATTAGTCACAGGGATACAATCAGCATATCTCTCAATCTGATGTCACTAAGCACTATGACGATTACGAGATAAGAAAGTGAACATACCACTATGAATGCATCATGAATGAGGATTCCAAACAATGCCCATAAAATACATGACACGAAGCAAACAAAAACAAATGGAAAGGCCATCGATGCAGTGCACTTTGTACGAATAATTTCACTCTAGAAAGACGAGGCAGTAGTTAGGACATTTGGAAAAACTAGGGTAATGGAGATCATGAGAAAAGGCCTACTGGAAATACCCTTTAAGACTTTTACAAACGAAGTAGCCTATCTGCACAATGTTCTAACAGAATAAGCTTTTGAGATATACAATGCCTACAAGTTCAATTGTAGACAAAACAGGCAAAATTATTCACAACATTCAAATTGGTTTTCAAGTGAATGAGATTCATTCAATTTTACAAATCAATTAACTAAACTATAACGCAAAAATTACTGAAATTTCATAGACGACGTGAAAAGCTAGCTTAAGTAAAAAGACGTGAAAAGCATTTTTAAGTAATACTTGACTTCTCTTAAACACCTCTTAATTTTAGAATATAATAAAGTTTTGCAGTTCCTTTATAACGACCAATTTGAATTTTGCGAGTTTCTGTTACAAATGAATTTTCTAACGGCTTCACTAAAAAACATTGCTACCAATAAGACCCAAATGTTCGAAAACCACAAAATTATTAAACTTCATTGACCTACCACAGTTACAAGAGGCGAAGCGGTCATTACTATGGACAAAAACGTGCCAACCAGACCAAGGTGCATGGCAGCGACGTTGTCAGAGGCAGCAAGGTATTTAGCGTAGAACAACATTGCGTATAGGAACGCCGCAGAAGGCAGAATAATACAGTTGGCTTTCCTCTGTGAAGAGAGATATATTTAATGCGAGACTTTAAAATGAAAAATGAAGTCAAATGTCTTATCTTTATGTCATAAGTGCGTGTAATCCACACAACCTCCCTCTACGAGGTCAATGTTGGGTGAGATGATTACAGAATAGGTGGGGAGGCATGCAAGCTAAGCTGCCATCACAATAGCATTTATTGGGACAGAGACTGGATCATTCAAAACTAGCTTGTCTCAGCATTTTTTGCCAGGACTGCAGTAACATTTCGCATTGGTAGCTGGATATATAATTCGAACTGTTGCATTAGACAGATCGTGACAATTACCCTACATGCATTGTTGTAGTTCGACAGTTACCAGAGGCCACTCTACGTTTAAGGCCTAATTAATCAATTCACTTCTGGTCGTAGCAAATTATTAGTTAAAAATGGTTTGTAAATATTGCATAATTATTAAGGTGAATTCAAGATTTCACATCTTTATTGATCAGTAGTTGCAAAACAAAAGTTTAGGAATTGATTTACCAAAAATTAAAAATACTTCTTGAACTAACATTAGAATATTCATGTTTTCTTGTGTTTTGTTGAACAAAAAACAGAAATTTTGAGTCACGATGATAAGAAAAACTTAATTGATCTATTGTGCAATAGACCAAGAAGAAATCTAGTTCACAGCATGAATATGCATGCACTTGCAGCTGCTGCGTTAGCAAACCATTAAAAATTAGTGAGCACATGTTGCAATGCACTGAAGTTTGCAAAAATAGAAAAATAAAGTGTGTTTCATAATTACAAAGGAAAAAAGGGGATGAACAGAGTAAATCATTCTTTATGATGCCATAGATATCACAATAGCTATCAAATTTCACAGGAATTCAAACTGGCTGATAGATTAAAAGTCAGAGAATAAATGACAATTTTTTTGAGCAAATGGGAAATTATAAGAACATGAAAACTGTGATTTTGAAGAAGAAACTACACATAAAATATTCCCTGGATACATAAAAACCGGCATGGAATACTATAAAGAAAAAGTTAATCTCACCTTGTCACGACAGTAGCTGTAATAGATGCATATGTAAACAAGTTGAAGAGATGAACCAACAGAATTCACAATTTTAATTGTGCCATTATTCTGGATAAAACCGTATTTCAGCCATATGGTAGAGCTAAATTAAAAAAATAAAGGTTAAATGTTGAATTTAGTAAAATATGAATGTTTACATATTTGGTGAATGGGAAAAAGCAGGATTTTCATACAAAGCCTGAAAATTATATGCAGAGTATCTGGACCAGTGACGGCGACAAGGAATGAACTAAACTTTTTCATTCAAGCCTAAATGAATGTAAGAAGATGACAAAAGATGAACCTGATAAATGAACAGGGAGATCAAAGGGCGTTATTAGGGGATAGGTTTTGGCAGTTATGGTGAATTCAAAAACATATTCAAATTCAATAATTTCGAAGACCAAAAACATTCAAACACAGAATCCTTTAAGCTTGAAAAAGTAAGTTCTTCTGTTATTATTGTTATCAAAATGAAAACCTTTGAAATAATCAATGTGAGATTCCAAGGTGGTGTGTAACGACTGAAAAGTTTGATAAATCATTTGTTGGTAACACATAGAACAATACTTTAGCCAAGTTAAAAATATATCAAAAATGGCAACCTTTACTTCAATCTATAATGATAATCGATTTTCAATGTCAGCATAGCAGTGTCAGAATTTTCCTGATCTTCTAGCTAAATAAGCTATTTAATAAATCAGCTCTTGTGGGACAAAAATACTATTATATTCACCAAAATCAGCTGCAAAGAAAATGCTTAAATAAATTTAGGGCATAATTAAAGATATAGGTAGCAAGCTGTAGTATCACAATGTTTCCACGCTTGACTCTGATTTGACACTGTACTTAAGAATAAGACATACCTAACACATGTGGCTATGAATGGGAAAAGTGGAATATTACCAACAGTCTTCTTTCTAATAATGAAAAGGCAGGTACTCCTGAAATAGAGAAGTGGGAATTATAGCAGATGCCACACAGGTGATCAAACAGGTATATAAATGGTTATTTGCAAGTGAAAGCTTTTGTGATGAACTGAACTAAAAAAAATGATCATGACCAAATTTCATTGGCATGGTAGGAACAATCACTTAAAGGACAAGTGACACACTATTCACCCTATCTTTTCTTTTCATTATCTTATAGATCATCATTTAGAAGTGAGTTTTTCCTGGTTTAGAACAAAAAATTCTAATCAAGGGGCGCAGGGGGCGCGATTTTGCTTTTTATCACGTGACCCTATGACGTACATTGTGCAGGCCATGCTGGGAATAAAATGGCAGGGGTGCAATGAATCGCACTCCTTGTGGTGCCAAGGCGTGCAATGGTGTGCTATAGTATTGCACCAAAGTACTTAATAATACAGTCAGCTGTATAAGGACTAGACTACATAACTTTATCATAAGAAAACATAAGCAAGGCTAGTCCAATCAATACATTTTATCAAACAAGCTTTATTAACATCAAACCCAACATATTAAAGAGAAAAACATTAACAATAAGGTAGGTTAATTAATATGTAATCCTGCAGTTTATAAACCCTTCTGATCTGCTTCTCCTGACAATCTCGTTCTCAAAATTTAAGAATTCTAACTGTGTTTTCACCATAAAGAAAACTTATCTGTTGACTAGTGTTAGAACGAATTAAATGGTTAATTGCACGTTTATTATTTGTAAGAAAGCTACAGTAGTTAAATCCTCACAATTCAAAGTCTCTTAATTTTGGAACATTTTTGCCCACATTTTATTGGTAAAAGTTTCTAAAATGTTTTGTATTTGCATACAGATTAGAAAAATGCACATAAAGTAAACTGTATATAGAGGAATTGTGAGTCCTGAGAAAACGGGATTTTACTGATCGCACTTGCAAGATACACTCGTAAACCACAGTGTAATCTGGGTCAAATCATTTAAAGCTTAAAGATCAATAAGCCTGTCTAAATAAACAAAGCCTTACATGTGCCATGGGGTTGTAACTACAGTGGAATCCCAATATAACGAACTCTGAAGGGAACCAGAAAATATTTCGTATATCGGGAGTTTGTTAAACCGAGAGATAACGTTTTTTGGGGGTCCTTTCGCAGTTCACGCCTAAAAAACCTGTTGTGGGCTTGTTTAGGCTATCTCCAACCTCTGTGCACATGTACAGCCATACATGTACCATTTAACTCAAAAAAACCAATCTGAATTCAAATAATACAACTGGCTGGTCATTGAAAATGAAAATCTTAATGTTCCTTTTATAACTTGGGACCAAGAGATTGGCAAAGCTGGTATCACTTCGCTCCTAGTTGGTGCCTGAATGATTTGTTCAATTACTTCACATTCTTATTTGTCTTTTTCTGCTTCTCCATCTGGGTCTCTCAATAAAGTTTTGTCGTCTCTCATTGCCAATGTCTCATATGTAACAGTGGCGGATCCAGCCAAAAATCTGACTACCGCCGAAATGAGATAGAGGGTTGACCACACCCTTTAGACCACACCCATTTCTTGGTCATACCCGGTTTTCTAAAATGATTATTGCTTTCTATAATTTCTTATGTAGACCATTTTCAAGAGACAAGTGGTGCTTTACTGAAATTTCATGTATCCTTACAACAAGCTTGAGAAGAAATAAATAATCTTATTCAATATTCTGAGGATGGATATTCTAAAAAAATTTACGGCATTTAGACGAGGAACACCATAGAATTAGAAAAAAGATACATTTGGCAGAATTTCGAAGTGTCGCCTAAAACTCGCATTTAGTCGGACAATAACTTATAAAAATCAGACCTGTTGAAAATTACTAAGTTTAAAAAGCTAGATAAAATTTGCAATTATTGAGAGCAACTTTTGTTAAACAAAGAACTATACTTTTGGCGAACTTTGTGGGCCTGACTTTTAATTTAATATTCTTTTAAAATATATTCCTACGAATAGTTGTGTATTGTACAGAATAATGGGTCACATCGGCTTTGAAATTACAGTTTGCCCACTTGCAGAATATGTAGGCATCCCCCCATCTTTCTGTAACGTTTGAGCCGCGTTGAGCGGCAGTACTACTTCAACCCCCCATCTGAGCGGTAGTCAACTCGCTTGTTCATTGGTTGTCAACAAAATTTGTATGCATCCCTCCAAGTTGACAGTGATTTCTGACAATTTGATTGGTTTAGGCAAGCTGACTACCGCTCAGTGCAGCTCGAATCCGCTCTACACCGACTCAACCCCCCTAGCTAGCAAGCCATGATTTCATCATCCCCCATGCTAGCCTTCTATTTGCAAACATGTGGCTCGGCAATTGGCACGCAATTTCCATAGCGATAAGGATTAAACAATATTTTTGTCTCTGTGGAAATTTCAGGCATGTTCCTAGGAAGAAAGGCTAGGTTTGCAGCGCGATCAAATATTTTCAATAATTAATTATGGTTTAATTAAAGTATTAGGATAAACATTAAAATGATCCTTGTTTCTATAATTTTTTGAATAATCTGACTACCGCTCGAGCGGTAATGGCGGTAGTCTGGATCCGCCACTGTGTAAAAAGGTATTCAGTAGTGTCAATGTACTCATTTGCAGTAATTTCTGACGCAATCAAACTTTCATCTCGTGGTCTGAGTCTATCAGCCAGTACTTGAAATGTATCATCGGCATGTTTTGCCGATTATAAAAATGATTTCTCCCCAAGAGAAAGTGATAAATAAACACCGAAAATAAGTAAACAAAAATAACAGATGAAAAATTTATGAAAGTTCGTTATATCAAGGGTAATTATGATGAAGGGACCTAAAAATGGTTCGTGATAACGAGAGTTCGTTATATCCGGGGTTTGTTATACCGAAAGAATTTGTAAGGAGTTTGTTACGCAGAATCCAAGGGACCAGGCATTTAGTTTGTTATACCGGGAAGTTCGTTATATCCGGGGTTCGTTATATCGTGATTCCACTGCAGTTATTGCAAATGAGACAAGCGACCACAACTGCAAAGCAAGGATTATCGGCCTAAAAGGTCGAGCGATTTTCAGACCTCAACTCAAAACTTTGATAAAAAAATTATGGAAGCCTTCGTTTACAGGAGTTTTTCGCCACTTTCAAAACTTCTGTTAGTTTTAGACATGGTATCATTGTGTGCCTTGAAAGTCCGGCTACTAGAATCTGAAGAAATCGAGAAGTGGATGTTTTCATCCAGAAAACGTTTACCATAACTTTAAGCAAATTAGAATATTCGCCAAATTTTTCGTCAAGTAGAAATCAAATAGAAACGATTGCGTGATTATCACCTTTCGTTCATAGTTGAATTATGATAAAAAAATTACATTGGGCCATATTGGTCACTTTGGAATAAAGTGTTCAGATTATTTAAGGCGTGCGATAAACTGCACTTCTGAGCAACGGAAGGCGTGTGCCAAGGCGTGGGCGTGCGATCGCACGCCATTCCCAGCATGGCCTGTTGTGATAACTCTGAATTTTCCTGTCATTAATAGAGAGTTTACGAAACATGACGCGACAGGTCCAGACAAACTGAATTCGTTTAGAAGCGTGTTGTAAATGTTAATATTGCATTGTATACCAATAGCAGCAATAACAAATTATCACAATCTATGTCACAGTGTCACGTGATTCATTTCCCGCCATAATTTGAAAAGGGTTTTTAAGTAGGAAAATGAAATCAGAAAGAAAAAATATTTCAACGCCACTCTCATACAGCATTTTACTTTAAGTTAAAAGAAGAAACAAATTTGGCGCCAAAAGCGTGTCACTTGTCCTTTAAGCATTAAGGTACGGTAGAATCCAGTTATAGACAAACCAAATGATGCTGAAAAGTAGAGAGAATAAGTGGAATATGGCCATCAATGGAGCTAAATTGAGTAGCATTGCATTTTTGGTTTAGCTTTTAATTTACTGTAACTGGTAGTATGACTTCAAGCAGAGTGACAAGTATAAGGTAAGTTGACTGTATCATGAAACGAAAAATTGAAGTTGAATGGCTAAGATAGAGGCATCGGTTTTCCGCATAAAGTTATATTTTGATCATAGTTATAGTCTGAGTTATAGTTTAATTCAAACAGATCTTTTCATTTCATGGCTTTTAGGCCTATTAGGTAACCCAAGCTACAAGGCCATTACAAAGCTGACAATTACTAAACAATGGCAAAGATTAAAACAATGGAAGGGCCACCAAAGCAGCGAGGGTTCTCTAAGAAATGATCAGAAAGTCAAAAGGCTGCATACAGCATAATTGTGGTCAGATCTTGTTTTAGCTCAATGATTCAAAGCTTGAACTCCATGCTTAAGAATAATAAATCTTTAGGCGTTATTAGAAGTCACCGTATGATTTAATAATAGGTAGAAGTGATATAGCAAATTGCCACTATGCTTACTGAGCTACTATGTTTGAAAGATGCATGTCAGAGCATACATCCTATTAATTCTATAATAATGTGTGGAATGTAGCAATACAATGTTTCAATAGAATGACTGTATTGGAAAATGGAGCTGGTGTTGTAAAGAACAGATAGAAAAAGTATTTGAATGGGTCCTTAAATGAAAAATTTTAGGACCATTTCAACAAAGAGAAAAAGGTGGAATGATCAATAAAAGGAGTTGAAAAGTATGGAGTAAAGAGTGCTTTAAATAAGATGGATTGTGGAAGAGAAAAAGAAAACTCAAAAGGATCTACAGAACCAGGCCTCATTCTATCTTAGTAGGTGCATGGCTGATTGTGGGCCTCAAAGCAAAATTTGCATCAAGATGTGCAGTTCATAACTACTGTTTTTGGTTGCATGGGAAAGGGTAATATCAGTATCTTTGATGTTACAGCAATTTTTGGCACCAACTGATGTTAAAGTTTATAATAAAGAAATTTAGGCGTTGAGGTACTAAAGTATTGTAACACTTTTTTCTATTAAGCAATATAGACATCCAAAAGGAAACTAAAACTATCATTTTGATCCCAACAAACATTCGCATAGAAGCTAGACTTCAAATGTACTGAAGAAGTGTAGCTAGACTTTAAACACATTTTTAATCTAGAAATTACTTCCTCATATAATAAGAGTGGTGACGCAGATTTAGAGTGATTTTTTCATCACACTTGACTGGCACAGAAAGATTTTCATTGTTTAAAATGCATATCATGTCATGCAAAGAATTGGCTGTAATCAAAAGATGATTTCAGGGGCAACAAGCTTCTGATCAAAAAGCAATCTTTGCAAATGGCAGAGACACATGATATTGCTACTTGTTGAGAAACAGGTGCATGACAAATGCGCTCCTTATCCAAACTAGGGGCAGGTTGAGGAGCAGGTGTGTAATCATGCTCCTCAAACTAAGAAGCCTGCAGAGCATTCAAAAGAAGCTAGAGCATCTGGTGTTAAGGAGTCTTATGTCTTTAGGCTGAGAGAAGAAAATTCTACAGCAGTGGAAAGCGATACAATGTATACCCCATTCATTTTAAGAATCAGTGTTGTAACAGAAGCATTGAATAAACTGGACTTCCAGCTGTTTATGAGGTCCACAATAAAAGTCCAATATGTCAAACTTTCATCAGCCACAAAGCATGGTAAAGGGATTCTAAAAAAAATTAAATGTCACTTTTTGCAATTTCTTGCAATTATCTATGAATTGTGTTGATCATAGATTAATATTATCGCTGATCTCAACTTGTGTTTTTTTATTCCATAACCCATTCCATAAAGTTTAATGCTGTTCATTTCTTATTGCCTTCTGCTTATGATTAGGCTCTCCTGCTTTTGTTAACTAACAGAACTAAAGTAAACTAATTGTGAAACAGTAAAACTAAAGCATACAATAAGTTATTATAATGGTTTATACATCAATGTGAACCTGCTCAAATATTTGCTATGTAAAGCTAACAACAGATTATGAATTAATTAAGAAAGCAAAATGAAAATGTATGATGTAATGTATATTGACACATGTAGTCATAGAAAAAACAGATTGAAACAATAACAACAATTGAAACCCTAATGTTTATTTTAACTAGCCAAAAAAGTTTTTTCCTTCTGTGCAGAATTTAATTGTAGCTATTCACTGTGTATGGAGTATATCAACTGATAAAAAAAGGAACACATTTGACTCATTTTTAAGAAAGTTCTGTTGAGTTGATGTTGAGTTGAGAAAGTTCCCAATTATAATACAGGAATAGTGGAATGACCTCTCTGAGAAGAAGAGACCTTTGAATTCTGTTATATAATAACTTACTTAAATCTAGAGAGTTTTGCCAGGCAGTTAATGAATTAGGTGTAGCCTTAAAGATTTCCTGGTGTTGCCTTTTTTATCATCATCGTTCACCATGCTTTCCCTTTATTGCAATATTGGACAATTTTTGCTACGTTTAAATATTTAGCTTAATGCCTTTAGGGCATGCATAATTGAAGCCACGTTTCCTTGGTCATTATATGTTTATTGAATTTAAACTAAATGTGATGTTCTCTTTATCAAGCTACTGAATTACTGAAATCACAAGTAATGTTACGTTTACGAACGAAGAATGACAAAATTTTCTTCGAAAGTCTAAAAAAGCATCTCACCCGCCAGAGAGATACAGAAATATGGAAGATGATAAAGCCATCCATGATACTATACTAAGCAAAGTTAACTCCATTACTTGACACTGTTTACAATGTCAACATCCCCATGGCAAACCAAAATTGACAGTTTTGGAACATTTCCATGCGTATGGGCCTAACACAACACCCACACGTTAGGCCTCGAAGTCTTGGAGCGTAAGTACGTTTTCAGCTTTTACAGAACCATTTGCATACGAGGATGGTTTCTGTGAATAAAGAAGTATACAATGATCCTCTTTCTTTTTCCCTATTATTATGTATGGCACAGTTACTGAAGCAAAGATTACTTGCTACAGATTTTCTAGCGCTCGATGAATCGAAACCTCGTTGTGGTGTTATATGAACGTAGCGAATAACGACAATGAGGCTGTTAAAAACAGAAAAGTGTGGCAGAAATGCGGAAAAAATCACCGAAATAGGGTGTTTTTTAAACCAATCTAGGCCAGCATACTGGCCAGGATTCCTCTTTGCTGACAATATCATAGCATCTGATACATAAGACCAAATGTTTTTTGCACATGTAATTTGCACATTGATATAGCAGTCACATACTTTGGGACATCGGCTTGGGTGGGCAAACTAGAGCAAGAATTAAACATAGAGAGGGGGCAGGCTTTTAAACAATTATAAAATATGACGCGTTTATTTGGAATACATCAAGCTTACCCAGATCTATAAGTTGAGAACAGAACACATTAGCTACAGAATTTTAAACATTCTGTGGCCACCCAACTGAAAATTCCTCCAAAGATATCTCACGAATTATGGTTTTCCAAAGAAAATGTGAGTCAAAGCACGCTAACGGAAAGGTGTGCTTCGTCGCCTTCTTGGTGCATCGATGTGCATCATGGACAAAAAGACATTCAACCCTTGCTGAAACATAAATACACACCAATGCACTATAATTCGAGAAGCTACTTCATAATTTTCCAGCAAAAGTTCGCACACGTTTCCAATTGCTTGCTCTTACACTGGCTGAGAACAACATGCTTTGCAGTCGCTTTCAGAATTCCCTTTTGTCAATCGGGTAACTTTCTAAGGTTCGATTGTACATGCCTGCAAGGGGGCCCTTTCCTGAAAATGTTGCAAAGAACAAAAGTAAAAGTAGAAATTGGCTACTTTTTAGCATTAACACGGGCGGGGCTAGCGCTACAACTTTTCCCTAGCATAGTTCTTTTCAAGCGACTATGCTAACAGAAAGCTAGGCCATTTTTCTATTCCTTTGCACCCCAGGTGCAATCGTCATAATTTGAACATTATATAACATTGGAAATTTTGCAAGGAGTCAAGTTTATAAATCTAAGGAGCCGATAATAGAGTTTCTTGCCTTTCAAAAGACGTAGAGTCCCTTTCAAACAGTGGCGGAAATTCATTTTTCAAGTGGGGGGGGGGGGCAATGCCCACAAAAGCAAGCAAATTTGCCGACAAATGACAAATGCCGCAATCCCTGCCACTGCTTTCAAAAGCAATTATCTTACAAAATTACAAATATGCAGAAAAATCATTTTATTTGTAATTGTTGTTACCTAGCATCCGAAGGTAGTTTTTAGGACACTGAGAAGCTATGCTTTTCGAGCAGTGTCTTGGTCCCTCTTCTCGATGCGACCACACCTCGTGATTTCTACGACTGGAATTACAGAGAGCTGGCGACTCTCCCCACTCTGTGTGAAAGTTTGGTCATGCCAGGGACCAGGGCCGTAAATCCCGGGGGGGACTGGACCCCCCCAAAATATCTGGAGCAAAATGATTTTTTTGATAAATTATCATAATTTTCTTTGAAAGAAACAAATCTCTGGTAGCCGGGTTTGAACCAAACTACGTTTTTCTGTGTTATTGCAACAAAACTCAGCCACTAAGTCATAGTGTCAAGTGCAAGATGACTTATGCTGATAGCCGTTATCTTTGTAAGCAGAGTGGTTTTTATCTGTTTTTTATCCTTTTTTACCGTTTTATTTTTGAAAACAGAATATGAAATAAAAAGAAAGCAAACTCATATTTCTATTATTTGTTTATTATTTGCTTTTATTTAGTAAATCACTTTCTGTATCATTAGAATGTATTCATTATTGATCTGTAAACATGGTCTACTTAAAACACTTAAAATAAGAAAGACGCACATTTCTGTTCAAGAAGCAAAATTCTACTAATCAATGCAACATCATCCCTACTTTCCCCAACGTCTGTCACTAGAGTTTCAGCATGGCTCTTCCCCTACACAATTTCGCGCAATAAACAATAATCTGTGTTATTCTGAGAAACGTTGAATTTTTATTCTGAGCGATCTAATATTTTATTAAATTTAGTCTGGAGGGTGCTTTTTTAGCCTTTCTAGAAGGTTATAATTTCTTAAATTTTCTTTTGCGTCGGACCCAACCAATGAGTCCTTCTACGTCACTAAACCTGATTCTAGCTCCCAAGGTTCAATTTCGTGGGCCGTCTCTGAAAAATTTTATCTATCAAATTATACACACAAGTCAGATGTACTAAGTCTTAAGAAATCCCAAAATCTTGACTTTTGTTTTTCAAGTCATTTGCCCCTCAACTGTTTTCAAAACACATACCATAAATTGCTTGGTGGTGCCATGAACCACGGCACACTTTAGATTGATTTACCCTGCTGACCCCCCCCTGTTCACATGAGAGATTTACGGCCCTGCCAGGGACTCGAACCACGGACCCTTGGGTCTGTAGTCAGTGCTTCTAACAACTGAGCCATCCTCGCTACAGCTACCAAAAATCATTTCGAGTAGCTGTAGCCAGAGGGGGCAAGTTGTGTTCAAAATTTTAATTTGGAGGGGAACAGCCTCCCCCTGCAGCTTCGTGGCTGTAATATAATTATGAACCCAAATGGTTTTTATTCAATACAACATTTGGAAGAAAAAACTTTTATAAGGTCATTTGTAACATATAACAGAAATTTCGGGAATTTTTCTCACAATGTGTTTCGTCTTCACTTGCTGCCATTCAAGACCAAAATCTAAACATTTAAAATAAGAATCATTTAACTAATACTTCAGCTTTCTATAAAAAGAACAGTTTGAGACAATGTAGCTTGGCAGAATCACAGTGTAGCAGAGCAGAAACTACTCTTCACTTTGTTTTTTCTGTATAATGTTTCTTGTTATGTAGCATTATATCTCTGTGAAGAGCGAATACAAATTCTCATAATAGTCAGATGATATGAAAGGGGTATTTTTTAGATCTCTCGGATAAGCTCAGGTAAATCACTGAATGGGGATGGACACGCCAGGGGGGGGGGAATGAATGGAGGACCCTCAGCTCTTAAAGACTTAAAGTAGTGTACTAAAAGTATCTTAATTTAATACGTTATGATATTTATTTTTAAGTTTTCTTTAGCTTCACTAAATTGACATTGCTCCAAGCTTCCTTTCACCACTGTTTTTAGACGATCGCTATTGTTTCTCTAATTAGCCTTGGCTTGCCTGAGGGGGGCTGAAGATAAGGTTTAAAGGGGCTGGCCAACTGTCTTCAATGGTTGCCCATCCCAGATGTAAAATAAGACTTCTGTATTAATAAAAAGCCTCTTTGGTCTTAAAGATCGAAAACAACAACCAAATCTTTGATTCTGCCCTTGGGCAACATTTACAAGAAAACCACGATCGGCCAAAAATATATCGTAAATCCTTGAATTGCCCCCCCCCCTGAATAAGCCTTAACCCTAGAACTACAAACTCGAAACAGGGAAATTTATGTTTCAAATTAACCAGGAAAATCATAGTAACTTTCTTCTAAAGGGATTTATCAAAACTAGTAAACTACATTGCTATAATATGAGACAATCGTCAGATCTTTGTTTCTCTCTGCCCTCTATTTCTACAAATTTCAAAAAGAGCTTTCGAACATTTGATGAGGTCAAGCTCTAGAACTCCTTGCTAATTGAACTTGAGAATACTCGAAACAAAAATCCCTTTAAGAAAATAATGAAAATATACCTTCTACAGAACTCCTTAGCAACTATGAATTGCTCAACATTTCTCAAATATATCCCTAATCAGTAAAACTTACCAGCCTACAACTGCCTTTGTGTTTTTTCTATACCTTTTCTTTTTCATCTTTATCCCCTTTACTTATAATTCATTTTATTTTCTTTATATTTTACTCTTACTTTTTATATAACTTCAAACTGAAATGGAAATCTTGTGTTTAAATACGTCATTAGGGCACATGACTCGATAGCTCTTCACGAGTTTTTTCATGTTTCCTTCAGCATAACAAATCTAATGTATTTATTGTACTTGATTAACTAAATTTTGAAATTGCTAATTTTTGTATTTAAACTTTGAATGTTTGGTATATTGTAATTAACATTTGTTCTTGCTGATAAAAGATTTAAAGTTTGAGTTTGAGTCGAGGTGTTGTTGCTAGGACCTTGGACTACTGAAGATCACGTGTTGTTCTATTGTTTTGTGTAAGATAATCGATGGACCATGACAGACTCAATGCACTTCAGGCTATATGTTGAACGTGGCAAAGGTTCCACCTTCACTGTTGTTAAAACCGGCAACCTGCCATAAATTTTTTGCACCAGTAACTATAAACTTAAGTTGTGGCTCGTAATTTGCTAAGAAAAATTTTGAATCAGGTGTGTAATTTTATTTAGTGAAGCGGTACCGTCCTGGAAAAGGAGCCGCCTTTGATAAGTTTTTCAGGTGGCCTACACTTCGTGATGGTTGTGATGGTCTGCAGTGGTAAACAACGGTAAAAATCCCTCGGGAAACGATCAAGCATTTATTGACCACACAAATACACAGTTACCTTCAAAAGACACCAAGGCCGAAAGTTGAAATCAGAGACATCATCATGGAGATTTTGCTCTGGTCACTTATTGTAACTGGTGCAGCGGTTGCTTGTGCACAGATGCTACGATGGGTAACAAAAAGAATTTTGAAAGATAACATTTTCTCAATTGTTGACGAGTTCCTTGCAGCACTGCAATGTTCCATTGGCATCCTAGAATGTGGTGTTATATCGGGGGCTTTCGGATCGTGGTCCTGGATAACAATTATGTCCGTATTTGTTTTCAGCTCAGTCAAGCATTTTACATTTATCAGAGGAAAATACATTGGAAACCCCGTGTCGTTCATTGATCGATATTACCTCGCTGGTAAAGCTTTTGTAGATTCGCCAGTTTTCATATTCTCCAAGATAAGTGCTCAGGTTGCAGGAGCTCTGATGGCCCATCCAGTTTCCAGGATGTTTTGGGGCAAGACGTATTGCTCGCACCACAGTCGTGCCCTGCTCTTAGAATGCAAGACATCCCTGTCTGTCCCTTTCATGCATGGGTTCTTTGCTGAATTCATTACAACGTTTATAGCTTGGTCTGTAGATTCAGTAACACCAGTGAAGTGGAAGCCACCCATACGGTCTGCAGTGTCACTGTCTCTCTTTTTTGCCTTTTTTGAAACAAGTGGTGCATGGATGAACCCAGCAATAGCCTCAGCACACACCTTCAACTGTTTAGGGCATCAAAATCTATGGGAACATTTTATTACCTATTGGTTAGGGCCATACCTTGCTGCAATTGTATTTTATGAGATTAGAGAAGTTCTGATAGTGATGAGAGAGAACGTTTCCAGCTCACCTTTAAAGCAAGATCAACATGCATTTGCTTCAAAAAGTTTGGTGGAAAGTAATGAGAAACATTCGAATTACAAAGATGAAACCCAGGATTCAGTAAAGTCACCCGCAGTGCCAAATTCCAAGTACCACAGACTGGCTGGAGGCTCCTTGCGCCAGAGGGTTTCAAATGTTGGGTCACTCTAATGGGATCATAAACTCATTAAATGACTTCTCTTATTGAATACAGTTGTGATTGAAATTCAAGATTGATAGAAGTTTCAAGAATAAAGTTGGATGGCAAATATTATAATCATGGCTTAAATGATAAACTTGCAACTGATTTAACTTGATAAGTTTAAAAATAAACAACAGCATAAATGAGGGTTTTGTGATAATATTTTATTATTTTTAAACCCTGCTAGTTCGAACTTGTGGCCCAGTAAAGCTGAAACAGTACTACTTTTGCAGTTTGTTGATTGCCAAAATCCAGTTTTGACATCATCTTACTCTAACTTTTTCTAACTTTGGAATAAATGAAAAGGGGATGCATTGGTGGTGCCAATCAATTTTTTTTACTTTTTTCGTGGGGAAAGGCACAAATATGCCTTCTTTCTTCACCTCTCCCTATTTATTAACAGTTACACACTGTTGTGCTTAAAGATAGGAATGACTGGAATAATGCAAAGCCACTGGAAAGTGTTTGGGAAACCTTCCCCTAGCTTTCTTTATATTGGGTATATTTTTCATGCCTCATAAGTGTACATTGTATTTTAAACAGGAATATGGAAAAATTATGTGAACCAGTGCTCCTTGACATTGGAAGTAGTTTCATAGGCACTAGCTACCTCCATCATCTTGCAATTGCCTTCCTTTTCTGCCTCCTTTACATTTTATGCACAGAAAGCTGCACCTTTTTTAAAGAGAAACTGCATGCCACTGAAACTGCAACAAATTCAATGTATGTTTTGATTATTAAAAATTAAACTTTAATATCTGCTTGTAGAAAATCTACTGTATAACAGACTCCAGATCCTGTTTTGTCCTTTTTCTTGTCCCTGTGCTGCAGCCCTTCCAGCATATCTGCTTTAAAGGCAGTGTGTTGCTGCGTCCATTGGCAATTGTTTGTTGAATTTTGAGGATCCTCAAAATTAGAGAAGCGTGACAAATTAGGACAACTGGTCAATAGCAAGTTAGAGGCGTCCTATGTTGCAAAATGAAAACTCACTGATATAAAAATTTTTGTTCTTTGTTTCAATAAACCAATTAATTGTGAGGCGTACTGCCTTTAAATGGAAAATGACTGTTTCTAATGATGAAGTCTTTACTTTGCAAACCATCAAATATTTTAAGTTTAAAGGATAAAAACATTCTATTGCACCACAAACATACTTGGATCACACAATGATCATTATCCGTTTGGAGACAACTTTGGATTAAAATTAACTCCAACTCTGAAAAAAGAAAGCAGTAAAATAAAGAGAGTATTTCATGAAAAATAATCAACAATGAGGTAATTTTTACTTAACTTGACTTACAACTTGACAACCAAAACACTTAACTTGAAAATTTTCAAATCAAAATAAACAAGGAAAACAAGATAAATGCAGTTGTTTAAAGAGCAAAGGGAAAAGCTTGAATTTAAAGGTTAATCTCATAAATATTTTGCCAAAACCATTGCAAAACAATTGTAGGTGTGTCAGATTTCTTTTGATTTGATATTTCAGATATGCAGAACTAATAAGTAAATTGATGACATAATCAACTAAAACAAATACAGTACAAATGAAATCAGTGGTGTAGTGCTACCAAAATAACCAGAACACCTCTTACACAAAATGGTGCTAAAAACACTAGCAAAAGTATAAATTGGTTATATTTTGGCATTGACAAGGGCTCAGCCCCCCATTTTTCAAAATAGAACCAGACATTTTATTCTCTGAACATCAATTTTCATTTCTAAAATGAAATTTGGTTGCTCGAAGATATGAAATATAAGCATAAATGCCAAGTGGCATGGCTAGAGTTGTTCATAATTGTAAAAAGAACAACCCTGGCAAGAATCTCCAGACAGCATTCTCAGAATCTCCAGACAGCATTCTCAGAATCTCCAGACAGCCATTAAAAAACTCAAATGGTGCCAATACGATAATATTTAGCAACTACATAAAGCAGTATATTGTTTTGCCAAAATTGCATAACAAAAAACCGTTAGATCTGGAAAATCCCGTTAGATCTGCAAAATCAGCCATGTGTATTCAAATGGGCTGGGAAATGGTCACACAAAGCATAGGCTCTTTTCCCATCAAATTACTGTACTTTGGTCTTGGTTTTAAGATCTATTAACCAGCCCCAAACAACACTATTCAATAAGCAAATCCCAGTTATTTCACTTGCAATATTTAAGTAAATATAATTATAAATTCTAAGTATATATTTCGATGACGTCACACTTTGGAACTTTATTGAGGCCGTTGGTCTTGATCTTCTCTAACCACGAGAGTTAGTTCTGCGCAATCTTCTGCTAGAAACGTCGACGGACGCTCCAGATACTTACCTTTTTCCATCACTAAAGACTTTGCATACTGGACATTAGAATTTTCAATTTCTTTTTTTAAAGTCAAATTCTACATTAAAAATGAATATCAGATGTTGACCACTACGAAAGAAATTTTTTCTGGTTTTCTCGACAAGTCACTCTACCCTAGCTCTAGGGAAACTCTCAACTTGTATGCTTTTCCAAACTTTATAATCCTGTTATGCAGAAACAATTTTTAAAAAACAAATCTTGACTTTCTAGGTGTGAAAAGATATGAAGGGTTTACTTTAAACCATGAGCCATATTTTATCAACGCAAGAGCCCTCAGTTTTAGGCCTAAATGAATACATTATGATAACAGTAAGTGAACTATTACATTTGATATAAACATATCGCATGCTACATACAGCTTTGTTCGAACAGTGTATCACATTGTAGATATTTTCCAGAAAAATACATGAAAATATCAAATACTGAATAATTTACTTTTGTAGCATTAAATTCTGAAACATTCAACGCTAATAAAACATTCTACATTTTTACAATGGAATTTGGAAAAAATTAAATCTTCTATCAGTTTCTATATATCTTACTTTCAGAGCTGTCTGTTACTCTGAAATCATTATGTGACGTTACTTTTTCAGTTTGAAATGTTCAAATTTAGACATATACCTCTTGGTAATGGCGGGGAACAAATTTTTGCTATTCAACTGCAGCATATCGCATATAAATGATACAGAACAGCTTACAGTTCACTGTTCAAAGTAGCACATGCAACTATTGATGCAAGCCTTCAAATTTCAGCTAACTTTGTATTTGCTGATTTCTATTCACACTGTTCACAAGAATCAGCTTCATTCAACTAACTCGACATCAACTTCATGCTGGGTTTTGTTAGAGTGGAGGAATTTAAACTCATTGAAATTGTCCTTCACTTCCAAGTCGCCTTCACTCTTTCCTTGTTACTTCGCGACTGATTTGCCTTTGATCTTCCAGCATCTTTATCGTTACTATCCGCAGTTGCAAGCTCTTCATCATATCTGGAATAAAAATGCTAACAGGTGACGAAAAAATAAACAGCTAATAAGAATTAACAGATGAAAAGACGAACAAGACTACAAGTCTGAATTCCAAGGTGATATTTGCTGAAGTTTAAGCCATAGTTCGAAGGAGATAGAGGACAGCAAGAAAGGAGCCTCAGGATGTAGTGTGTACTTACAGAACTTCGAAATTTCCGAGAGCTTCTTTACTTGGTATCTTCTCTCTTCTCACGCTAGAAAAATATACAAACAAGGAGATATATCAGATCTAAGACTGGCTCCATTGATAGTTGGCGTGAAAGAGAAAAAACCAATACCAGTAGAAAAGAGAGCATTTTTTATACTTTATATAAATGTAGAAGGAAAAAAACCGGAATGAAAACAAATAAAATGATGCAGATTTAATTTCTCTTCTTCTTCCATATTCCCTACTTAACTAATTAACTTCCTCCGCTACCTATCCAATCTATATCTTCGCTACAATGTCTCTCTCTCTCTTTTCTATTTCCCACTAATCACAACAACAATAACTCTAGCTCCAGTTCTTCATCGCTCAGTTCTAGCATGCATTACTTACTTCATTACCACGTTACATCCACACAAATGAACCCATAATTCCTTTTTGTTGTTGTAAATTGTTGTGCAGAGGGATAACTGTATGGCTTTGAATTGACACTTACTCTGGAACCTCTCCATTTGGCATCACTATATTGATGATGTCATTCATTAGAGAAAATTTCATGATTCTATCAGCCGCAGTTGTAGAAGACAAAGAAGGTGATGCATTAACCTGATGAAAACAAAAACTTTTATGACCACCGAAGATGATTCGCTTAAAGGCAGTCTGTTCCTATCGTGATTGGCTAAATCTAACTTGCAAGCCTCGCCCGAAAGAGGGCCTTCCTTCGCCTTTTTAGCATCCGACATTAGTTATTGTGAGTGAACATGACAAAAAAAGCCTCATCTTTATATCATCGAAACTGACTTAGACGTTTGCCACCGAATCGAAACTCACAGCAACTTCTCGCTCAAAGAAATTGCGCTATTGTATTTCATCATTCAGATTGTTTCTTTGTGCATTAAATCAACGATGCATGAATATCATGACTATGAAAAGAGATGATGAGAACAATGGGGAACATACTGCCTTTAAAGTACAGGATATGGAATAGGGAAAACAAATAAACAGCCGAAACATTAACGGCTTCCTTATTGGATTAACCAAGCCACGCCCTTTTGCTGTAAGAAAACGCCCTTTTACCAATCGGACGACTGATGAATGACATTCTGTAGTAAAAACAACGTGAAGTGTTATCAAATGCAGATTTTGTGCAAAAAACCTGTTTACCTCGATCAGCCAAGGCTTCAGATTATCATCAATTATGATATCATACCTAAAACAAAACAAATCAATGACTGAATAGACAATATAAAAATGCAGTAAATGTAAATCAATAAGCAAATGGTTTGAGTTGTAGAATCCTCTATCTTAAAATGAATATTTTATGATTTGGATTCTGATTCATTTTCCCAAATTGATATAATAAGCGAAATTAGACGTCTCAAAATTTTGCAAATCAATTTTGCCAGAATGCAATTTCCCTGTGTGCAGTTATCACTACTAGCATATTTAACATGATAAATAGCTTTAACTGTAGCATGGCTTGAGTTTAAGGCAGAAATGGTTGATAGAGTGTTTAAATGTTCTGAGGTCAGTTAAAAAAGCAATTTTAAACAATGATACACAAATGAAGCGTTTGATACACAAATAATGATACACAAATAAAGCACTTCAGGAGGGCATCTTGACTTAACCAGGCACCGCGTGCCGAAAACAAAAAGTAACTTCAATATCTGAAACATAACGATGTGCAAAAGTTTTGCCACATGAGCCAGTCCCAGGCCCCAAGATGACACCATCCAAAGATTACAGTGGAGTTTCATTCTAATTTCCTTTTAGTAAATTTCCGCGTTTAGTCTCATTTCCATTCTAGCTAGATCTTTTGTCATGTGATTTACCTTAATTCCAAATATGGATATGTATTCAAGCAAGATTAATTCACAGTTTGTATGCATGATATCGAGATAAGGCAACCAGTTTCGCATCTATTGAAATCTTTAGTGACAAATCAATGCAAGTGAGCTGTTCTGTATTAACAAATGGATTGCCAATCAAGGCAGCTTCATTTACTCTCGGTTTAGAATTGCAAAGACAGGGGAAAAGAGCAGCCGTTGAAAAGCAAAGCATGGGTTAACATCTTCTGGTACGTATGTAAACAACAAGTTAAAAATCGAGAAATAAAATAAATACACTTCAACATTTGTCCTGGGTAGAAGGCTGCTGTTGGTATATTTCGTTGCAAAATTCCCGGGGAAAAGTTTGGATCTGTAACTGTTTTAGCGAGTAGAAACTTAAAGGGAAATTGTCATTTTAAAGACGTTTAGCCATTAAACGTGATGCAGACTAGTTCAGTTAGTTAAATGGTTCATTTAGCTATATTTCTGTAAACGTATATTGGGAAAGGACCACGCTAAAACGTTCTCAAAACTGTGGAATGTGGAACTCTGATAGCTTTCAATTCATGCATCGAGAAAGACTACAAGGCATTCTACGGATAAAAACCAAACATGATTTGAGAATAATCTTTGCTGCTGGAAGATCTTGTGATACCAGGTTTTTCATCTTATCATCTGGTGCATGAACCATTAAATTCTGGCGCAACTTTGTCTTTTTGCATTATCACGAACTCAGCGAAAGTGTTAGATTTATCATCAAATTGATTTTTTTGGCTGGCATTAACCAGAGAATGCTTCAATTTCATTACCAAGTTGAGGACTTTATTTACCAATTTAATGCCCAAGAATTGTGTTTGGAGGAGCTATGCCCTGCCAACCTTTTCTTTAGACCTTCCTTCTGCTGCCGAGAAAGAAAATATTCTATCGCAACCAGGGGCGGATCGAGACATTCTCAACATTCTCAATTGAGAATGTCAGATTTTCCCGGTTTGATTATTCTAATTAAAATGCTAAAAGTAATGAATGAGCTCAGGTTTAAGATTCAAGATAAGCATACATCTTTTTATTATGTATTTTAGATATTTATTTCTACACCATCGCCGTATTTGCTATATTTTACTCCGTTTTGCCTTTGCAAAACATTTTTAGATCTTCTCCGATGAAAAACCAAATTCTCCTTCATTGAACCTAGTACCCAGGAGAGTAGTAAGAGGCTGCGCCGCGTCCTGTATCTAGGCATGATTTTTAGAAAGTTTATCGACTGTTGCCATGCATTTTGAGAAGTTCCTTCGCAATTTTAGAAAGTTGCACGCAGTTTCTGCATGCGCACGCAGAGAATTTCAATTCATTTTTGTCCCTTAGAAGAGGTCGACCTGAAAGATTTTAACGAGAGGAAAATTCGCCAGAATGACGTATTAAACCCATTCACTTTTAATAGGGTATATCTGGCATATGTTTAACATATATTTTATGAGGTCTTGCCTACGTCGCAGTTTGAGAATCTTGAGAAGTTAGTGGGCTGGTCCACAAAGTAGCGAAATTTGACAGGGAACACCAACTTCACGTGATCAAGAATCCACACTCGACTCCAGACTACAGTGGCAGTGGCAGTGCTTGGTAATGATATGTGTTTGTGCTTGATTAGAGAATAATTTCGCAAGAACCCATTGTAAGTATGGATGTATTGGAAGAATTGAAACAGTTATTGACCGACTGTGCTTTGGATACCATCGAGGAGTATTTTTTTTCGCTGACTAGGTAATGGTTACTTACAAGTCTGCCGTGAGGGCCTAGGCACCAGAACCAGATCGTAACACACAACCTTCGACATTTATTGTGGCAAAAGAATTGTTTCATTTTGCTGACTGAACCTTGTTGAAAGAGAGAGGGTCAGACTTTGAGGTACTGCTGATGAATTTTATATAGGGGTTCATTTTGTGCTGCTGCTACTGGGCCTAGAGAGGCTCAGGTGGTAAATTCTGCAAAAAGTTTGTTTTGTTTGCAGACTGGCCCCTCTGGATGCTGCTAAAATACTTAATTTAACACCGATACCTTACCATTTTCTTTCTGTTTTTGTGTAATGTGATTTAAATGTAGAATTCACAAAAATTACACTGTTCTGAATTTAACTAGAACTAGAATATTCATTCAATGATTAAATGGTTGCCTATCTTTGTAATATAATGTGTATGGATACATTTTAGTTTGTTTTAATAGCTATTTAATTTGTTTTAGATAACATGTTATTTATTTGCAAGTTGAATTTCACTTTTGCTGTAAAAAAGTTAAGAGAGATTTTAACAGTTAGAGAAGTCATTACTTTCTTAAAGTCTTGTTACTGATATTGTTACCAAGCAGAATAGGATTTGTTGTCACAGCCTTTGGTGAAAAGTTTTGTGCTATGGTGGGCTGTTGTGTTCTATTTTAAAAACATTTGACATGTTGCATCTTTGGAAATTTTATGTGGTTAATCATATGAGCTACATGGGCCTATTGTCATACACTGCACTTTTGTTTTGGAGATGCATCTCCTTTTTTGTTTTATTGATACTAAGCCAATAATGAACAAGGTTTATTGAGAGTGCAACACCAGAAGTCAAAATCTTGAGATATATTTATTTGAACAAGGTGGTACTAGGAACTGGAAATGCTATCTGATAAAATATGTTTTACATTAAGTTAGTACACACAGTAAAGGCAGATAGAATCTGTTTTTAAGGCATGTTAAAATGCAGTAATTGGTATGATGTAATCTAGTATGACAGGAGTTAAAGTAATGGAGTAGTCTTTCAACAAGAAAAAAGATGAGAAATGCATTTGTTTGCTTATTTTAGCCAGCCTATTACCAGACTAAGTTTTGATGGAATTATGGTTTGGAAAAAAAGCTAATTTTGGTTAACATTCCTGTGGAAGGAAAGATTATGAAGGCAAAAAATTATATTCATTTTCTTTGGCAAAAGAAAGTGCCTCTGAAAGCTAAGCAAAGGGAAGTTTAGTATAAAGTGTCAGGCCTCAGAAGATTCAAATTTAAATTTGATGGATCTACTAAATAGACAGTCATCCCAAAGTAATTTTTCTTCCATGTATTTCCAAATGATGAACAACAAATCTGAAACAGATATACAGACTTTGACTTCGATGCAGAAATATTTTACTCTAAAGCAGTGCAATTACCATATGCCAAAAGATATGATGCATTTAAGAGAGTTAGCATCCAGAAAGAAGTTGACTAGCCTTAGCAGTCTACTTTTGTTTCTAGAAAAGGTTTTTGCCCATTTCTTTGTCCAAGTTTCTATGGCTTGTATACTCTGAAAGTGCCTGCATTTTTAGTAATTTCATTGGTCAACTTTCGTTAATAATTTTTTTTCTATGATGAGTCTTGTGCACTTAAATTTTTATCAATAATTTGGATGTCCACAAAACTACACTTTTTTCTATAAAATTCCACATGTTAAACCATTAGAAAACCAAGCACAATTTGCCACACACATTTTGTCTTGATCTTTGTGTTATTTTTCCCTGCATTACCCAATTTTCAATTACTAGTGTTGCTATGCTTATTAAGTTAATTCTTTAATGTTGCATCATTGTTATTTTTCGGGCAATAATATGAGGGGGCAAGCCTATTTTTTGATAAGATGACATCACCATTGTCCATTCTTTTTAGAATAAAAGACCTCTGTCTTCCTAAAATGTTGGGGGACAACTACCTCCCTTCATCCCCCCTTGGTGTCTGCCACTTCTTATTGTTTGTTTCTATTTCTCCTCTTGAAATTTCAATAATTTTAATCATTGCATCCATAAAAGACAGAAAACAATTTCTTGGGCGTTTCCAGAAAATGGGCGTGGTCGGTCGGTCATAATGGGTTTTGAGAATGTCAAATTTTTGTCTGGATCCGCCCCTGATCGCAACATCTGCTTGCATCCATTGAATAACAAATATAAAGTGCACTGGATATTAGAGTCTCTACGCAACCCAGTTTCTCGTTTTTTTATTTCCTTGCTACACTCATTTTCTAACAATCAAAGGTGAACATTGATTACTCTATTTTTTCAATGCTGCAGACATTTTCAGCACTCGTTATTTCTCAAAAGCCTGGAATTTTATCTAATAATGGAAGGTAAAAGGTGTTTGATATTGGTTGCGTCTAAAGTTTTGTGTGTGCAATCGTTTTAACATATTTTGTTATTGAATACTTAAATTTATCAGCTAAACAAGAGTGATCAAGTCTCTTTTCTTTAGCAAGTTTGGTATGCAAAAAAGGGTGTACCTCTACCAAAGTACAGGGCGTACGACGACAAGCGTCCCCCTGGACCCCGGAGAAGTGAGGCTACATAGGTGGAGCCCCTTGAGAAATTGCGAACAAGCAGAGGCAGA